ATATATATATATATATATATATATATATATGCACACACACACACACATATATATGTGCTCTTTTTCTCAAATAGTGAGTATATTCAGGGGAAATCTTGCATATATGCACATGGATATATATTATATATATATATATATATATCTGTGTGTGTATGTGTATGTCAATTACTTTTGTAAGTAGCATTGGTCAGACTGAGAAGATTTCATCAGAACAACTCACTAATGTATATATGTATATATGTATGTGTGTGTGTGTGTCTGTTTGATTTGTGTGTGTGTGTGTGTTTTATGGGTGTGTTTACGTGTGTGTGCATATGGATACATATACAAATGTGTGTGTATATATGTATGCATATGTAAATGTATGTATATATATATATATATATATATATATATATATATATATATATATATATATATACATTTATGCTTGTGTGTCAGAATTACTTTTTATGTAGCATTTTTCAGACTGAGAAAGTTCAAACAGCTTTTGACACACACGCAGGCACACGCGCACGCACACACACACATGCACACACACACACACACACACTATATATATATATATATATATATATATATATATATATATATATATATATGCACACACATACATATATATGCAAACATATGTGCCAGATTTCCCCCATATGCACACACACACACACACACACACACACACACACACACACACACACACACACACACACACACATATATATATATATATATATATATATATATATATATATATTATATATGCTGCTCGTAAACACACACATAATTGTGGATTTACTCAAAAAGTTAGAACATTTTAGGGAAGATATGGTGTATATATGCATACGTATACGTTTAACACACACACACACATATATATGTATGTGTGTGTGTGTGTGTAATACTTGTAATAGCACAATTACTATTACAGTATCAGTCCACATTTATATTTACTTCTCCCTCCGCCAGGAAAATTAATACCACGTCATAAATCCTATTAAGTATTACAAATTGGAGTTTCTACCATTTACATATGCGCAATCGCTAAAAACAAGAAAATAACAGGCTTTAAAATAATAAAAAAACAACCTTTAAAAATCAATTAAATAATAGCAATTTTTACCTACCATAGTCTTGCACAAACCCCGACATGCGCATATACGTCAGGGCGAGAAAACATTATACAGTGAACAAAACAGAATAACGGTCTGCGCGTTGACAGCGCAACAGACACAAAAAAATATTCGCTACATGAATCCAACATTAAATACAGCGACCAAATGCTTACGAATGTACACAATGATACATGGATGCGCATCTATGCATAGTCCCACGCTGTTCACATATGTTTATATTTGTGTGAGCTCCAGTGAATGACTGTGCGTGCGTGTGTCTCTCCATACGTCAATGAGTGTACGTGCGTGTAAGTATGTTTGCGTAAGTATGAGTGGCGTTCCGACAACAAATTTTTCTCCCACTTCCATAAAAACACAATTTTTTTTATTTTTTTTAAATAGTACGTTTGTCTGATGATCGCAAATAGCGTGAAACCCAGGGTCACAAACTCACATCAATCCAACTAAATATGTTAGCTCTATCTCTGATGTTGAGCCCTTTTCAATAAGTACCGCGCATATAAAATATATAAATAATATATATTGCATATATATATATATATATATATATATATATATATATATATATATATATATATATATATATATATATATACCCACATTGTACACACACACACACACACACACATATATATATATATATATATATATATATATTAAAAATAAAGGAAATGCAAATCTTTCTCCTGAGAATAGCTATTTCAACTAGCGTTAATACGCTAGTATTTTTCATCTCAAATGGTGTACAGCTACAGATATAGAAACTTAAAAATTAAATATTTAAAAAAGGAAAAGTTGCAGTCGTTTACAATAAGATATTGAGTTGACCAAGCAAAACCCGAATAGTGATAAGGGGAGGCGGATATTGTCTGGCTCAAATAGAAAGAGTTAACACAAACTTGACACGGTCAAAACATTTAAAAATAAAAAAAAGTTTAATGGTTATTATTTGATTTAAGTTATCTTTAAAATTGTATATATTTAATAATATTTTCTTTATTTTAATTATCTTTTTGTTTCTTTTTTACTCCCTTTTTTACATTTTTTACTTCTTTGTTTACTTAAATATTTTTTCCTTCTTTTAAATTTTTCTATAGAAGTTTTTTTCTTTTAATTCAATATTTTTACTTATTATTTATAATTATGTCTTAATTAGAGATTTGTAATTTTTACAGACATATTTTTAAAATTTGAAAAAATTACAAATTTTAAATATTCTTAAAATATTTCATGATTTTATTTTTTCAATTTCTTCAATTTTTTCTTAATATGAACTAATCTAATTAGTATTTATTGTTAATCTCAAATTATTTGCTATAATATATTTTGGTCATTTTAAATGAAAAAAATCTATTTTATTTTACAACTAGTAATATATTATTATTATTTGACTTGTTTTATTTTTAATTTAAAAAATAAAAAAAAATCCTGTCATAATTTGATTTTCCTTCGGTTTTTTCTTAACCCCTACTCGGGTTGGTGGAATTTAAATCTGGGTCAAGTTTGTGTTAACTTTTTCTATTTATGACACACAATACCTCTGTTAAATTATATCGATTGCTATTTTATTAACAGAGCACCTAATATACGATATATATCTATCTATTATTTTTAAATCAAAAAATGCTAAGTTACTTTTATTTTAAAATTCTACGTTTTTAACCAACAATTTCCGTGTAATATTTAATTGGATTTTTTTCCATTTTTCGAATAATACGTTCCATATAAATTTGAAATATCACTTTCTAAATATGCCGACATATGCATGAGGTTTTCTTGTGCATAAACAATTTCTTTGTATTTAATTTAACTTTTGTAAGATGGCATATTTTGACGCAAATGGATTTGATTTTTCCAAAAAGTTTCATTTCCCACAGCATAGAATTACACTTAGCACCCGTTTCATTTTACCAGAGTATCGAAATTTATTTTCTGTCAAGTGAATTCTATACAGACTCGCAAGAATGGACAACCGAATTGCAATATTGGTAAAATATACAAGAGTAATAATAAGTTACTACAAAAGAAGTAACAATTCATGCTTAATTAAAGGAAAGGTGACCTCTTGCAAAGTTTAATACGCCAAAACTGGTATCTGCAAATAAATATTGTATGCTAATATGACAGTCAGAAAAGAAACAAAGCCGACCTTATTTATTTTATTCGGACTATTGTTCTCATCTTTGTCACCATATTTATCACAACGTTTCGGCCGTTGTACGCTCAGGCCGTCTTCAGGTGGTTGGAATGTCGAACTGAACCCTTTATTTCGCTCACTGGGGTAGACTGTTCTAGTTCCACCTGCCATGTTTTGATGGAAGTCAGCTATCAGTTATCTCCTGTTAATTTTCCCTCTGAAGTGGAGAACTTTCAGAGGGAAAATTAACAGATATAACTTATAACTGAAACGTTATGATAAATATGGCGACAAAGATGAGGACAATAGTCCGAATAATGTAAATAACGAGATAATATGTATTGCTTTAACCTAGAAAAGGTTACTGAATGAGGAATAACCAAAACGGAGGTTGGAAATGAAATGGTAATCTTTATAACACCAAATAAAAAAAAATACTCGCCAGCAGCGTGAAGTAGGTAAACCACTGTTAGAGTTGGATTACATAGACAACATATTACACCCACTTACAATAGTGTCCAACGTATTTATGATGATTGGGACTTATCCATCAGTGTTCATATATACGGTATATAAAATGTATCATTATTATTATCATTATTATTTAAACGTTATTTTGTAGTGGATATCCATATTTGAATAGATGTTCCATTTATTTATTAAACATTCCATTTAATTATTTCTGGAAGAAGTCTTAATAAATCTTATTCCAGCTATTGATAGGAACGACTTGACTGGAATTAGAACTCTATTCTCTGATTTCTCATTCCTAATCGCATTCGATTACACCGTTGTACATCCCCATACATGTATCCAGACACACACACACACACACACACACACACACACACACACATATATATATATATATATATATATATATATATATATATATATATATATATAAAAAGTGAACATTGAATTCAACACTTACAGGCCACAGGTTCTTTCATGCTAGATGCAATCGTCAGGCCATCTGATGATCGAGTCTAGCATGAAACAGCCTGTCGCCTCTAAGTGCTGATTTTAATATTCACTTTTTTATTTATACTTAGATACGCTCTATCTCTGATATTGAGCACGTTATCCCATAAATATAGCACAGCTTAAAACTACATTTATTCATATATATATATATATATATATATATATATATATATATATATATATATATATATATATATATGTTTGTGTGTGAGCGGGGATTATGTGCATATAAATATTTGATATTGTGTTTTTTTTAGGTATTAGCCTTTTAAATATTAATCTATCATCGTATGCGTGAGAGAAATATAGGCAATGTTCACACCTTTCATACTTGGGCACGCGTACATTTCAACAAATATATGAATACCTCTGTGTGCGTTGGTGTGCGTGTATGTGCGCGTGTGCATGTGTGTGTACGTGTGCGAGTGTTTGCGTGTGTATAGCTGGTATTAATGCTTGATATAAATGTCAGAATAATATTGCAGCCCGTCAAATGCACCTGTCGCAATATAATGTTCTGCACATGCGCACTGCGAGGAATAAAATTGCCTGACGCGCAAATATTAAAGGATTTTAAGGTGAGCAAAAAGAAACGGAGGGAAAGATATGATGCAAGAAGTGAGAGAATATGTGAATGCAACTCAAAGAGGGGGAGGTGCAACGAAGTCAGAAATGAAATATTGCAAATAGAAGGACTAGGACAACAAGATTAGACGGTCCAAATAAGTAGTCATGGGGAGGGAGGGTGCTGGTAGTGGAAAGTAGGTAAGCGATTGTACGGATGGAAAGAATTGGAGGGGAAAAAATTGCAAAAAAGAAGAAAGATAGATAAAAGGAGGAAATGATCGACACAAAAAAGTCAAGAGAGAAATGAAAATTTGCAGTATCGCTGCAAGTGTAAGAATCAATAAAACAAGAAAAAGAAGAAAGAAAAGAAACATAGATGAATATATATCGTTCGATATAGAAAAAGAATGACTAACAGGGAGTGAATAGAAAAAAAAAAAAGGAAAAGAAAGACGAAAAGAAAATTCACAATACACTAGGTAGTGCCCCACTTTCTATCTCTCTCTCTCTCTCTATATATATATATATATATATATATATATATATATATATATATATATATATATATATATATATATATATATATATATATATATATATATATATATATATATATATATATATTTTATATATATATATATATATATATATATATATATCATTGCCACGACTAAGACCAAACATGATGATTTTATTAGCATTTAGGAGAATATCACTTTTGCCAACAGTCAAGAAAATGAGATCAAGCTTCACTACAAAGACAGAAAATGAAGAATCAAATATTTAAAGAATATAATAAAATTCTATTCCTTTAAAAATTGATTCTGTCATTTGCCTGAAGAAGGTCACGAGACTGGAAACAACTGTAGCAAAAATAGGAAGAATAAAATATAATATATACACTAAAGCTAGTCCATATTATAACCCCCAAAAGTTTGCGATTTCTCTCTTTTTTTAATATATGCATTTTTCTCTCGTTGAAATAATTATAAACTTTTCCCATATATATATATATATATATATATATATATATATATATATATATATATATATATATATATATGTGTGTGTGTATATATATATATATATATATATATATATATATATATATATATATATATATATATATATATATATAGTCTTAAGCTGTGCTATATTTATGGGATAAAGTGCTCAGTATCAGAGCTAAAGCGTGTGTAAATAAAAGTGAACATAGAATTCAACACTCAGAGCTGACAGTCTGTTTCATGCTAGATGCAATCGTCAGGCCTGGCGATAGCATCGAGTATGAAACAGACTGTCGCTTACTTTCTATTAAAAAGGTAAAAACGCATATTTTACCATGAAAAGGGAAAAAAAGAGGTTACGTATTTAAGGGGAAAATATGAGATTTGTTTAAAACTAGATATAAGTTCTGTGGTATCAGACATTTATATATGTGGCTTTCAAATGGCGTTCATTAAAGGAAACATTTTTGTCAGGCACTTCTTCAGAAAGTTTCGTTGGAACAACAATAATCATAAGGGCGAAACTAAAATAGATAAACAGGGTAAATAAGGAACCACGACTACAATGTATTGAATACTAATAATAATACTACTAATAATACTAAGAACAAACACATAAATGAGCAGCCATGGAATATAAAACAGAAAATAATGTTTTACTCACGACCCACATATGCGACACAAAGAACGAAGTCCTCCTTCCGCCTAAACAAAACAGGTCCTTCAAGCTTGACGTAAATTATATATATATATATATATATATATATATATATATATATATATATATATATTTTCTCTTACTTAAACCGTCTTTGACGCCCCCTCTTGAAAATTTCTCTCTGTTAAATTTTAATTCCCCCTTCATCTTTAGACCTTCCTATTCTTCTCTCGTCTGTTACCCCTCCCTATAGCTTTCATTTACTCTAACATTCGTCCCACACTCTCATAAATACACCCTCACTAAATTCCGGAGTTGATTTTTTTGTTTTTTGTTTTCTTTTTGAACTTGTAGGTCTGATGAATTAGATCGTATTTACGATTCCAATGGAATAAATTATGACCATGGAATATTAGTGTTTAAGCCTTTATATATATATATATATATATATATGCATAATCTGTGTATTTAGGCAGTAATCCTTCTTTCATGCACATTTCATTGAATACGACAGACAAGATTCTTTGATTTAGTTTAAACAATTAAAGTTTAATTTTAACAATTTTCATGCGATATAATAATATTTTCTTTTCAGATAATAAATTATATAAAAACTGTCCGAATGTTCTTTTTTTCCGGGCGCTTTCGGTTATAGATTTAGACATTTTTAACGATGCAATATTTTAACTGTTAAATAAGATATAGTTTGTTGCATGTATGTATATTCACAAATACATGCTGTTCAAAGAAATTATGAAATGAAATTCATCGTCTCTAACAGCATAAGTCATGAATTTTAGAAGCTAATGTTTTAATCAAGAAAAGGTAAAACAAACACAAGTAAAAAAAAAAACAAACGAATTTTTATCATTCGTTTCGAAAGTTTATGACACCTATAATTTGAATCAAATTAAATAACTCAGTAGGATTTTCATATTTTGAGGCAAAGTAGAAAAATTCAGCAAAGCTTCTGTGGGTTGAAGTACTTTCGGTCTTACTCTATATCGCCTAGTATGAAAATATATATAATGCTAAGGGAAAGTGTGAAGTTGGACAAACATATAAGTAAACAAAATTTAATTCAGCTAATGAGGAATAAAGTGGCAGTTTAACGCTAGGTGAATAAGAACATAAAAAGAAGAAAGAAAGCATAAGCAAAAAAAAAAAAAAAATGATGTGCTAATCGAACCTTTCCTTTTGTTGGCAATTCTCTTGATATCCTCAGTCTTAATTATATTCGGAGACGTCACAGAGGTTCTGACCTTTGAACGCAATGACGTCAAAAGATGCATATGACAATGACACCACACCAAAAACCAAGAGTAAATAACACACACACACACGCACTCACGCAGCCTACAAGTGAAGATAAATAAAGACACTACAATATAAATGTATGTGCGTTTATATATATATATATATATATATATATATATATATATATATATATATATATATATATATATATATATATATATATATATATATATATATAAAAAAATATTTTCTTAGGATGAGCTATACTTATGTGATAAAGTGCTCAACATCAGAGAAAGAGCGTGTGTAAATATAAAAGTGGGCATAGAAGTCAACACGTAGAGGTGACAGTCTGTTTCATGCTAGATGCAATCGTCAGCCTGGCGGTTGCATCTAGCATGAAACAGACTGTCGCCCTATAATGACTTTATGTACTTTTATATATATATATATATATATATATATATATATATATATATATATATAACAAACACACACTGGACAACCAGACTACTCATACATGAAACTTGATTATGCCGGTGAAGAATTGTGCAGAACCAACTAAATATTTGGGGAGAGCCGATTGCAGAGAACTGGTGCACAGAATGCCACAATGTCTCCAAAAGAACCTCCGCAGGTTTTAACTTCAGATTTGTCCTTCTAGACAGTTCGGCACCCACGGATATAGGACCCAGTCTGTCCTGATATTTACCCATAGCCGGCGAGGAGAAGAGATGGATTCACATCTTTGCTAAAGTTAATATCACTTAAGTGAATGTAATAAACCCGACTGGAATTCGAACTCGATGGATAAATTTTCGTCCAAACAAAAATGAAATTAACACTGACTTCTTATTTTAACATATATTTGCCAAAACTGCACAAAACATACATATTAAAGATGAAAATTATACAATAAAATCGCTATTGACTTCAACCACGACCTCCAGAATATCCTGCTAATTTTCTGGAAAATCTACTTGTTTAATTTTCTGAATGCTGCCATAAGCCTTGCCTTCATTTCATCTTTGGTGTTACAAGGATGTTTGTTGGACCCTCGCTCAAATGCGCTCCACACATCATAATACCACTAAGGTGGTTTCAGTCTGAGGAGTTAGGTGACCTGATGTAAGAGATCGTGTTATCGCAGAAATTGTCTGACAGACATGACTTGTGGCATGATGCACAGTCCTGTTGCCAGACATAGTGTCTTCCAGCAGCCATTCTCTTGACCGTGTCAGCACTAACTCCTCAAGGTTCTTAATGTAGGCGTCCGTGTTGAGTCTAAAGCGCTATAGGAATCTAAATGGTGACATAACATCACCGTCACTAGTGATCACAACAAACACATTCACATTCCCTATTAGACTAATTCAAATTTTTCCTAATCCTCTGCACTTTCCTCAGATTGACACTGGATCTAAACAACACCTTTATCCGCTGTACCATGTGTCCTTAGATCCAGTGACAGGAGCCAAAGTGTTGTGAGTTCAATACCTGGTTAAGGCAGTGGAAAACTTGGAGAGGGGAATTAACAGGAGATAACTGACATCCATTAGACATGGCACGTGGAACTAGAACAGTCTAATCCATTGAGCGAAATAAAGGGTTCAGTTCGACATTCCAACCACCTGAAGAAGACCGGAGCGTACAACGACTGAAATGTTGTGATAAATATGTCATCAAAATGAGGACAATTCTCCGAATAATGTAAATAGTGTACAATACCTCATATCAGAAATATAGACAGATATATGAGCGATGCTTTTAGTTTTGTATATGTGCAAAACTAGTGATATTTCGATTCTTTTAGTCTTCATTTTTTCAAGAGATTGATTCACTAACTAATCAAATATGGCTACAGGACTGTTATCCTTAAGTTTTAAAGTAATTTTTAATGCTTTCTTCAGATTACTGTAACACTTTATGCATCTTAGACTGTCAGCTGTCTCAATCTGATTGTAAGTATACATTTCTTTGCATTTTTTTACTTTCCTTAAAACTCCCGTGTTGATCCGATGTTCTGTTGATGGTATTCTTAGCGTTCTTCACTATCTGAAAATGTCTCTCACTATTTCTAAGTTTTTCTACAACTGTGCAAAAAAGTTTTCAGCATTCACTGATTAGATATTAATTGTATCAATATTAATATTAACATCGAGTTAATTACTATTAATAGTAAATTAGATATTCTATAGTTGTTCAAATCTATTTTATTTCTTGAAAACTATATTTTTCTTTCTCTCCGTACTTTGCTTTACTTTTAGAAGTCATCTTTCCCTCTTTCTGCGCCAAAGTTTCCGCATTTGATTACAGAGAGCAAACATGATGTCCGTGGCAGATTAAAAACGGATAAAAAAAAGACAAACATTAATTATCTCTCACTTCTTCCATATTATTTTTCGAATTAAAATGATTAAAATTTATTATTATAAATCATTTTTCTATTGGGTTACCGGCATCGAATATATCACCTGGAATCGATTATATTATGAATTGATTAACTAATGATAATATTAATGAATAAAAACGCTTTACAAAGATTTGTTTTCGTATTTGTAAAGAAATTCAAAACACTGATGTTCTTGTAGTCTTTATTCTCTCAGGAAGTGAATCCCTCAACTAATCCAACATGGCGACCGAAATGTCGTTCTTTAAGTCTTTAAGTGATTTTTATTGTTTTTTTTTCTACAACTTTCAGTTATTTAGGTGCGCCATCGATAAATAAGGATAAGTAAACATAGATAAATAAACATAAAAATGCCTGTGTGCTAAAAAAGTCTTACTCAAGAAGTAAATAACATGAACGATGTCACTGTTTTCGCAAACAATATTCAAAAGAAATACAAAAAAAAAATGTACTCATAAGTAAAGCTCACACATTAACAAAAGCTTTATCTATGTGAAATGCGTGTGATCTTATATTGTATTTTTTCTTGCAAAAATGAAGTCATTTTTAAAAGGGTCTTAGTTTGGGACCTGGGAGGAATTGTGTATACAACAGAAATCAAAAGAAATATTACTACTACTACTACTACTACTACTACTACTAATAATAATAATAATAATAATAATAATAATAATGATATTAATAAATAATAATAATAATAATGTCGTTTGAGTAAATTACATTATTACTGAGTCAGGCGCGGGAGAAGTGACCATTGAAGGTAAAATTATAGCCTTCAGTCGTGAGCGTTAGTGATAAAATTAGCTTACGGGTGGCTCCAACTTTGCATATAAGTCTCAGGGACATTTAGCCAGAGTATAAAAAAAAAAGAATGTTAATTTTGGGTTTATGCAAGTAAATGCCTTGCGGCCCTAGATAATCGGAGGCATCGGATATTTTACAAGTAGTCGAAAGGAATGAAAAGTTTCCTGACGGCGTAGATTTCCGATAATAAACTGGAGAATCAAACATGGCTCCTAAAGAAATGTCAAATAAAAGAAGTAATATGGCCTGCTTTCTTCCGAATAAATTTGCCAGCGAATGAGGTGTGAGAATGAACTGACTGATATCAAAGAAAATTGCTGAAAGAAATACAAAAGCTTTACATGTGAATGAATGCAATGCTGGAAAAGGAGAAGGTAAAGCAACTGGGGAAAGAGAGAAGACAAAAAAAAAAACTATTAACTAATGTATAAGGAGCCAATGGCATGAGGTTTACAAGCTGCAAACCGTAAAAGCGTGAAGATAAAATTGCAATAAAATATGGCTGCTAGTCAGGGTTTAGAAAAATGAAAAAGTAACGCGGGCTTCTGAGAAATAGGAAAGGAGTATTCGGTCAGAATCTAAAGAGTATAAAAGCGAGTAATCGAAGACGTGTGTCATAAACAGGAGTTTGAAACCCAAAAACTATTAACACACACACACACACAGAGGAATGTGTATGCGTCTACGTGCGTGCGCGCGTGTGTATGTGAGGGAGAGAGTGTGTGAGAGAGAGAAATAGAGAGAAATACATGGATTATAATATCCGAAAAAAAATGGGGAAGATGAGAGAAAATGAGAAAACTGTAACCGATGCTTTTCGCCGAAATTCGTCTGTGGGTTTTGGCTCTACGATCCAAAAATTACATATATATATATATATATATATATATATATATATATATATATAGATAGATAGATAGATAGATAGATAGATAGATAGATAGATAAATTAGGATAATATTGCACATCGAGTACTAGTACTAATAAGAGTCATTCATATAGAATGACAGATCTATATTTGACATATTAATAATGAATATACTTTTTTTTTCTATTTACTGGTACCGCGACTCTAAGTTTCATGAACAACGCAATCTTCAGTTGCGGATTGAAAACTGACTGTCAGTTTTAATCAGCACTTGACGAATACGTTTTGCATGAAACTCAGAGTTGTGCTACTGGGGAAGAAAACACACACAATATATATATATATATATATATATATATATATATATATATATATATATATTACAGGAGATCGAAAATACTTGCGTTAACAAAAGCTAAGACGCCTTCGTTGATGAATTTCAGCTTAATATCTAGATACTCATTAGAGAATTAGGAAGGAGTATAATAAAAATAAACAGACAATACACACACACACACACACACACACACGCACACACACACACACACACACACATATATATATATATATATATATATATATATATCGAATTAAAGAGAAAGAACAGACAGATTAAAAATCCCCCGTTCTTATCATTTACTTTTTTTTAAAAAAAATGCTCGATCAACTTAG